CTCGCCAGGCCTACATACAGGCAATTAAAACATCTAATAATTACCTAAATCTGTAATATTAGGAGGACACGTCGCTACCTGGCATTTAATTGCAATTCTCAAAACCCCCTCCCGCACCTTCCATCACACGCATTGGTATCGTCATCTTCTTGCCTGGCGAATCAGCTGTAAATACATGCAAGGAAAGCTCCGCTAATTTGCGCTGTAATAGCTGAAATACAGGTTGTACCTCTCTAGTCCAGCAACCTTGGGACTTGACCGGTGCCAGACCATGGAAATTCACCCTTTTCCTGAATAGATAGTGACTTGTGCTTACGCTTGGAAGCACTAGCACCACTTTCTCTGCTTCATGGTCTCTTTGAAGACATATTGATGGGTTAAATGTCGTACAGTAGCTTCTCAAATTTCGCGAATTTTTAATTCAAAGTTTTTTATTGGAACTGGAACACACGAAAAAATTTTTTTTAAATTTTGACGGCAGAAACTCAAATTTCGACGGGTTTGAACGGCTCACCAACGTTCAGACGTGCACAATCGTGTAAACAGCATCATTTCTCTTATGTACAAAGGATTCATTAATCTTTATTACTGAATGTCTTTTTGATTGAATTAATGTTTATGTGTGCAAAATGAGCAATACAGTCAACCCTCACTTTACGCGGTTAATGTAACCCACAGGGTACCGCGGAAAGTGAGAAACGCGTAAAGTGAATAACATAACATATGGGATTAAATGAAATAGAGACCAGCTGACCCCCAAACTCCACTTTTTCCAACACAATACCTATGTTCTAGTAAAAATAACATCTTAATATTACGATGGTACATGCACACAATTAATACTTAAGAGAAATAGAGAAATACAGTCATTCAAATAATGGACTCAACTCCCTCCCACTCTTCTCACACTACACTCCTGGCTCTTCCCTCTCTGAGAAATTTTTGGGGGAAAACCAGGTATAGTAATAAATAATACCTCAAACTAAAGTTAGGATAATATAATTGACATTGCTGGATTCCTTGTAAGACCAAGAATATTTTGAATACAAATGTCATATATTTTGCACAAAAGATAACATATTTACTCAGAGTAAACATTATATCTAAAATTTGTATGTCTAATGCAAAATCTATGATGTTTATATTCAAAATGATCATCAAATTGTAAGAATTCCAACAATGTAAATTATATTCTGGCCGGGTAATTTGTATGAATTTTATGAGCTAAAACAAATATCTTCAGTTAATAAAAAAAAAAATATTCTTCACTACACTATCTGTCAATCAAAGTACCCCACCTTGCCTCCCCCCCTCTTCCAACCGCCAGATGGTCGGTCCGTCCCAACCCTCCCCCCACCCCCCACCAATCCTCCCTTCAAGAGAAAGGTTGGGTGAAAAAACTAGATTTTAACATTTAGTATTAAATAATACCTCAGATTAAAGTTAGGATAATATAATTGACATTGCTGGATTCCTTGTAAGACCAGGAATATTTTGAATATAAATGTCATATATTTTGCACAAAAGATAACATATTTACTCAGAGTAAACAAAATACTTACATTAGATCTAAAATTTGTATGTCTAATGCAAAATCTATGATGTTTATATTCAAAATGATCATCAAATTGTAAGAATTCCAGCAATGTAAATTATATTCTGGCCTGGTAATTTGTATGAATTTTATGAGCTAAAACAAATATCTTCAGTTAATAAAAAAAAAATATTCTTCACAACACTATCTGTCAATCAAAGTACCCCACCTTGCCTCCTCCCCTCTTCCAACTGCGCCAGATGGTCGGTTGGTCCCAACCCTCCCCCCCACCTTCCCTCCCTACCAGAGAAATGTTGGGTGAAAAAACTAGATTTTAAGTTTTAGTAATAAATAATACCTCAGACTAAAGTTAGGATAATATAATTGACATTGCTGGATTCCTTGCAAGACCAGGAATATTTTGAATATACACTTCATATATTTTGCACAAAAGATCACATAGTTGCTCTGAGTAAACAAAATACTTGCATTAGGTCTAAAATTTGTATGTCTAATGCAAAATCTATGATGTTTATATTCAAAATGATCATCAAATTGTAAGAATTCCAGCAATGAAAATTATATTCTGGCCGGATAATTTGTATGAATTTTATGAGCTAAATAAAAAAATTATACTTCACCCGCGTAAAGGGGTACACGCACCACGGAATGCGAGCATCCAGGGTTCTGGCAGGGTACCGCGTAAACGTGGAAACGCGGAATATGGGACCGCGTAAAGTGGGGGTTGATTGTATATATATATTCTTTCAGTGAATACGAGCCCGGGAGGGCGCAACGACATTCACTGAGTGACTTAAAGCAGGGGATATAGTCACAAACGATCTAGCGACTTCATAAAGAAAATGCGCTGTGGTTGCCATGACGCTGACCAGAGATCGTAAAAGAAATTGTCCCAAACACAATAAATGAGAGACATAAACAAAATAAAAGTCACTCTATTTCTTCACTGTGCTAAGAAGTATAAATACCGTATATAAAATCCTCGTGGAACTTAGTATTTCAGCAATTACAACACAAATTCGCGGAGCCTTCTTTGTGTGTATTGACAGATGATGCGCCAGGCAAGAAGATGACGGTGGCAGTGTGTATGATGAGGGGTGAAGGAGGGGGTTTTGAGAATTGCAATTAAATGCCAGGTGGCGACGTGTCCTCCTAATATTACTTATTAAGTAATTATTAGATGTTTTAATTGCCTGTATGTTGGCCTGGCGAATTATTGCTAGGCATTAACATACCTAGGTTAAAGCTAGACGTCACATTCTGTACTATATTACAAAAACTTGTTTTTAGAAAAAACAGCTTTTTCAACCTGTAACTTTGGATACAGTAAACCCTGAAAAGTCCGCATTGTCCAGACTTTTACCAAGTGGGGGTACTGCGAGCCACTGTGTAACTAAGCAGCCAGTCATTAGCCACCTGATGACCTTTAAATTTATATTTCAATGTAAAATAAATATCATGTTTGTTTCCTTTTTCCTTTTTCATTTATATATTGTAGTACAGTTTACTAAAAATAATTAATTTTTTTTTATAAAATATGTTACCTGTACTTTATTATTAAAATATATACTGTATTGTCTTCAATGGAAATACTGTGGTCTAATCAGATCTGATATAGGACTAACTGGAGCTAACAGGTACGAAAGATGACATTTCATATGTAAACGTGCTGGAGGTGGACTGGCTGTTGCCGTGTTTGCCAGTTTGTTTTTATTTATTCATTATTATATTCTCGCATGATCAGCCTCTTGTAGTGTATGTTTCATCATTAACAACATAAAATATTAAATAATAGAAAAAATACAATACACAATTTATAAACTGACTACAAAATAATGGAGGGTGGGATGGACTGCAACAGGTGTGTGTGTGTGTGTGTGTGTGTGTGTGTGTGACATGGATAATGTAATACATATTCATCTTCTGTTCTCTTCCTGGGAGGATTACCATCACCATTATTGGAATTATTTTACCTAAAATCTTAATATTTTTCTGTGGCTGAATGTGTGTTGAACTTATAACTAACCAATCACAGTGCAGCATTAAGGGCGAGTCCATTCTAAGACTGGGGAATAGACTGTTCACTCACGAGTGCTAGAATAGGAAAGAGTCCAAAGAATTGCTCAAATGCGGGAATTTATAATGACCGCGCAGTGCAACTGCGGCCAGCCACACTCTCCTTACCCCCAATGTAACGTCACGGCATACAGACAGCAGCCACACACTTCTTCATGAGTCAGCTGGGTGACAGCTTGGCTGAACTGTGTCGTGTCTACTTGTAAATGTAAAATTACAAGTAAATGTAAAATTACAAGTAAATGTAAATGTGAGGAATAAATAAAAATTACAATAATAAATAAAATAACAGAAAAAATATTGCGTTGCCATTTGGCAATCAGTTCACTAGACACGGGACACAGAAGACAGCAAACAGCTGAGATCCTTCAGGCTGCTCCCCCCTCCCCTTCTGTGTGTGCTAATGCCCGTGCACATAAAAAATGTTTATTCCCTTTTTATTTTTGACCACATGATAATTATTTTTTTTATTTTTTGTTTTCATATACTGTATGAAAGATTGTCTTTGCATATAACAGAGTAAAAACATTATGAATATCTACCCAAAATTACAAGTTGAAAAATAACCATAACATATATCACAGCTCAGCCTCACCCGCTCTGAGTGCTACTGGGTGGCAAGTCGGGGACACAGTTACAGTCCACTGACTCCAAAAGCCCAAGCATATGATCACTTGCCACACAACCATACTCTTAACTTTTCTTATTTTATACTGTAGTTTTATATCACAGTTTCTTTATTTCTAAGCCACAGTAGAGCATTGTAATGGTTATTCCACAACTCTTAGTTTAATTACATGTAAGAATGGCAACACGCCATCTCCACAGATATTATTCCTCATTATCCATTGTTTAGCAATAATTTTGCTTAACGTTAGGTTTTTCAGGAACGCAACCCCGTTGTTAAATGAGGGATACCTGCAAAACTGTAAACAAAATAATAATAATAATTCTTATCATTTTGTGAAAACCACAGTTAGGTGCAAGTGTCAAAAAATTAATGAATTTGTAATGCAGACTACAGATTTCTACACTCTTGTGGATGACTAATGCATGTTTCATGTACAGTATTTAAGATGCTGCACAAGTTCATACTAGTACTTTAATATTTTTCTAACTAGCAATCTTCCTTTTTATGCAAATTCTAACTTACCTTTCACCCCTCCCCCACCTTCACTTAATCAGGAAAGATAAGGTTTATCACTTATTACAAGATAAGACACATAAACTGACTTAAAGAAAATTTCAAATATTTGTCATCAACTAAAGCTGACTGAAACATAGTAAATCTAGATTGGTATTCAAGAAGTATTACTTCTGCAGGTATTGTTCACTCATACTAATTTTAAGAATAAATGCATCACTTTACTTGATAATTCCATGGAACTATGGGCCTTTGGTGTCTTGAAATGCCACAGATAAAAATTCTCCTTTGAGGCAGCAAACACATAGTTGTTTGTCATGGCCAGATAGTGTGGCTCTATATCTATGTATTTACCTGAAAAATAGAAAAAGAAAATTGAAATTTGGAAAGAATCAGGAATTAAAGAATGTGCTGTTTATCAAAAAAATTCAGACATCATAAATACAACTTTTTTATATACAGTGAACCCTCGCTTTACGCGGTTTCACTTTACGCGTTTCTACATTTACGCGGTACCCTGCCAGAACCGGAATTCCCACTTTACGCGGTGCATCTACTCATATACGCGGGTGAAGTATAATTTTTTTATTTAGCTCATAAAATTCATACAAATTATCCGGCCAGAACATAATTTACATTGCTGGAATTCTTACAATTTGATGATCATTTTGAATATAAGCATCATAGATTTTGCATTAGACATACAAATTTTAGATCTAATGCAAGTATTTTGTTTACTCAGAGCAAATATGTTATCTTTTGTGCAAAATATATGAAGTGTATATTCAAAATATTCCTGGTCTTGCAAGGAATCCAGCAATGTCAATTATATTATCCTAACTTTAGTCTGAGGTATTATTTATTACTAAAAAGGTAAATATTCTGGTTTCTCCCAAACATTTATCTGGTAGGGAGGGTTGGTGGGGGGTGGGGGGGAGGGAGGGACTGACCGACCATCTGGCGCGGTTGGAAGAGGGGGGGAGGCAAGGTGGGGTACTTTGATTGGCAGATAGTGTCGTGAAGAATATTTTTTTTTTATTAACTGAAGATATTTGTTTTAGCTCATAAAATTCATACAAATTACCCGGCCAGAATATAATTTGCATTGCTGGAATTCTTACAATTTGATGATCATTTTGAATATAAACATCATAGATTTTGCATTAGACATACAAATTTTAGATCTAATGTAAGTATTTTGTTTACTCTGAGTAAATATGTTATCTTTTGTGCAAAATATATGACATTTATATTCAAAATATTCCTGGTCTTACAAGGAGTCCAGCAATGTCAATTATATTATCCTAACTTTAGTTTGAGGTATTATTTATTACTATACCTTGAAATCTAGTGGTTTTCCCCAAAAAATTTCTCAGAGAGGGAAGAGCCAGCGAGTGTAGTGTGAGAAGAGGGGGAGGGAGTTGAGTCCATTATTTGAATGGACATTAACTTGGCGACTGTATTTCTCTATTTCTCTTAAGCATTAATTGTGTGCATGTACCATCATAAAATTAAGATGTTATTTTTACTAGAACATAGGTATTGTGTCGGAAAAAGTGGAGTTTGGGGGTCAGCCGGTCACTATTTCATTTAATCCCATATGTTATGTTGTTCACTTTACGCGTTTCTCGTTTTACGCTGGCCTCCGTGGGTTCAATTGACCGCGTAAAGTGAGGGTTCACTGTACAGTATAGATGAGAAATTATCACTCTTCATATAAGCAAGTAATATACTGAAGGAAATACAGTATGCTGCATAAAGAACAAACAGTATACAGCAGGGTTTAAAGTATACAAAAACCTGAATCTCCACTGTTAACGGTGAGCTCATACAGCTGGGGAGTTGGGGAAGTGGGGGGTCTGTGACCCCCCCCCCTTTTTTTTAAGGGAGGGGGGTAAATGTGGTTTATTTCAGGGACATTTTGAGGCCATATGCACTGAATATTTGGACATATTTTAAGGCTAACGATGCAATATTTCCAACTTCATGAGTGTGATTATCAGTACAGACTTGTACCAAACTGTCTTAGACCTAACATTACAAGGTGCCTTAAAATCCCTTTGGATCCACCTTTGCTGTATGTGCACACAAACTGCAAAAGTACCGTGAATATAGTTATTTGTACAATGTAGAAATATTATATTGCAAATTAAGAGCATTTTACTATGTACCAGTGGGATACAAAAGTTTGCTGAATGAAGGAACTCAGATTATTAATACTGCACAGTCGTGGTCAAAAGTAATCATCCACTCCACCACCAAGCCCTGCATCTGTCTTGGTCCTTTTTGCTTGGCAAGTCATGTGTGGTGGAGAGGGGGAATGGGGGAATGGTTGACTCAGGGGATTGAGTGACTGTGGTAATTACATCTATGGTGGTGCAACAGCTTAGGTCATGTAGCCAAATTAAAATTAAGGCTTAAAAGACTAAAATCAAATAATGCAAGATAAAAACATAAGTAATAAATATCAAAGAACTTTTGAAAAACCTTTAAAACGTTAATAGATAAACTCAAAGCTTGTGTAGAAGGCTGGCTTCCTCTACGAAGGAGAGGACGTCCCCTTGCATGACCCCCCCCCCTCCCCCAGCACCAAAAAGAGATGGTAAGGCCACTCCCCTCGGCACTGGGAGAGGTGCTTATTGTAGATATATGAGACGAATATGGCTGTAATATGTAACTCTGTACTATTTACCATTATTGATTCAGGTCTCTGTATTATATGTTTTATAATCATACTCCCTTTTGTCACCGAGTGTTAGTTCAGGTTTTGGGCACATGCGCGCTGTATGCGCAGAGAGAGATACCCAGAGAGATTCCAAGACAGGACGCTGTTTTCCCCTGTCTTAACTCCTTTTTGTGTTTGTACCGGAAATAGAACTTACGGACTTGACATCAGTGTGTTTCCTTTACCCCTGAGTGTAAGGACCACCTGAGTCTCCCACATGGCGCAGTGTTTAGCTGGGACATCACATTATTCAGAATTGGAGTGGACACAGAATCTCTCTCGGAGCCGCCATCTTGTCAACTTCTCCTGTCCAGTGGATCTCGGCGCGTACCTCAACACGATATTCCTGGATTTACAGTGCAGTGTTGTGAAGTGCTTTTTCAGTGTTGTGTGTGCCCTATAGTGTCTTTAAAGTGTTTTCCCGTGTTCCTGCACTTTTTACAAAAGAGAGGAGCCTATTTAAGACCTATGGGAGAGCTCAAGTTTTGACATCCACCCCCGTTCATGTCTCGACTGGCACTGAGTGAGCCAGCCAGCCCGCTCCCTAGCCAGCCCGCCCCGAGTACACGCACGAACGAATGCACACACACACACACAGACGCTCGCAGAAATTAAAACGCTCTACCACCCCCATTGACTTACCAATGAAACTATTCAAGGAGTTCTCCCCGGAGCTTGCTAAACCCCTCTGCTCCATCATCAATGCTTCTCTCAGTCAAGCCAGATGCCCAGCTGACTGGAAGACCTCTTATGTATCACCAGTGCCCAAGTCAACCAGCCCACAATCCTTAAATCAGCTACGACCTATTGCAATCACCCCAATACCCAGCCTAATCTGTGAAAGTTTTGTGTTTGACTGGGCTTATGCTGATATTGCAGGAGTCGTAGACCCTCAGCAATTTGGCAACATGAAAACTTCCTCCACCACTCACTGTCTTGTCAGCTTTCTCGATTACATATACCGCCATCTCGAGAAACGAAAAACGTCTGTAGCTGTCGCCTTCATTGATTTCACTAAAGCGTTCGACCTAGTCGACCACAATATAATCATTG